CGGGGGAGGACGGCGAGGAGGCGGCGCCCGCGGAGCCGGCGAATCCCGGGGAACCCGCCGGGGGAGGCTCCCGAGCGGCCCCGAGCCAAGGGGACACAGGTAGAAGGTCGAGAATTTGTCCAGGGAAGGGGGCAGGAACGGGGCAGGGAGGAGGCGCCCGCGGCAATCGCGGCTCGGCCCCGTCACGTGATCGCGGAAAACGGGGCCCTTAGGCACGCTCGGATCGGATTGGTTGGCTGCGTGGGTGGGGGCGGGACCAAGGGGTACGAGGAGGTACTGCGCCTGCTCCGGGGGATTCCAGCCTCGCCCGCTCGAGGCTTCCGGGTCCGCGCGCTCAACCTTTCCCGGAAATGAGGCTGAAGAGACTGGGGCTGGGAATGTGGCTTAGCGGTACCATACACAAAGCCCTGGGTTCGATTCCTCGGCACCGCCTAAATGGGAAAAGCCGGAAGTGGCGCTGTGGCTCAAGTGGTAGAGGCCTAGCCTTGAGCAAAAGCTCAGGGACAGTGTCCAGGCCCTGAGTTCGAGCTCCACCACCCCAGGACTGAGTTCTCAGAATCACACACCAATGGAAAACCACTGCAAGCCCACACCTCTGGCAGCAACACCCCATTATCTTAACGTAAGAGCTCTTGCTCTTTGACCAGGTTCCCTAATCTCTGACGGTTCTAGAATCTCCTAGAACTTCCTTTCACCAATAATCGAACCCAAGGCTTCATGCATGCTAGGCAAGCACACCACCACTGAGCCACCTTCCCAGCCCGTGGCAGCAATACTTTTTTTCCTGCAGCTGGCAGTCCTAGGCTGGGGTATGGTTTAGTGAGTAGGCCTAGGGACCAATCACCAGTACAACATGAGAGTTGTTCTTAAGAGATCTTGGAATGCAGGCTTTTTGTGTTATGAGCACCATTAAATCGCTAAATGAGCCGGGCCCTGGTAGTTGTAATCCTAGCTACCCAGGAGGCTGAGAGCTGAGGATCACAGTTTAAAGCCAGCCTGGGTAGGAATGCCTGTGAGACTCTATCTCCAATAAACCACCAGAAAACAAGAAGTGGTGCTGTGGGTCAAGAGGTAGAGTGCTTACCTTGAGCTGAAGAGCTCAGGGACAGCTTCCAGGCCCAGAGTTCAAACCCCATGACTCACACACACAAAAGCGCTAAATGCCCACTTGTTATATGTTTTAGTTATCTTTGACCTCCTGCCACTTTAGCAAATATAGAACCACTGTGCATCTTCTTTACCTCTCCCTAGTTTGCCCTTGTAAAAATCAGCATATGCAATCCCTTTTTGCAGTGACAATACTGGAAGTAAGGTAAAACAAATGAGTTTTTACCTCAAAAGCAAATTTAAAGGAAATTCAAAGGTGCTGGTGGTTCACACCTGTAATCCTAGCTACTCTGAGTATCACAGTTCATGGCCAGCTTGGGCAGGAAAGTCCATGAGACACTCATTTCCAACTGACCACCAAAAAGCAAGAAATGGAAGTATGATTCAAGTGGTAGCGCCAGCAGCCTTAAGTGGAAAAAAGCTAAGGGACAGCGCCCGGGCCCTCAGTTCAAGCCCCATTACTAGTATCACAAAATAAAAATAAAAGTCCCATGCATTCTTTTTGAGGTTGCTGATAATGAACAAGAACTTTGTATCTGAACAAGTGCTCCACATTGTACTACCATGACTTACCATGTATTAAAATATCAATATAGAAAGCCTCACAATGAACACAAGTACAAAAAAAAAATTGAAGACTAGGGCTGGGAAGGTAGCTCAGTGGTAGAGCACTTGCCTTGCATACCTGAGGCCCTGGGTTCGATTCCTTAGCACCACGTAAGCAAAAAGAAAAAAGCCAGAAGTGGCGCTGTGACTCAAGTGGCAGAGTGCTAGCCTTGAGCTGAAGAGCTGAAGGACAGCGCCTAGGGCCAAAGTTCAGGCCCCACAACTGGACCCCCCCCAGAAAAATTGAAGATTAAATCATTGTTTCTTTTGTTCCTTGGGCCTCAAGTTCTAATGAACCTACACAAGAAAGTTATTGAGGCTGTTTTTCTTTAAAAAAAAAAAAAAGCTTTTAGAGGTACTGGGGTTTGAACTCATGCCTCAGTTTATTAGCTTACTAGGCAAGTAGGCACTCTACTACATAAGAATATCAGGGGCTTTCCTGCGTGGGCTGGCTTCAAACGTCCATCATCCCATCTCTCCCCTGAGTAGGATTATAGCCACCAGCACCTGGCTCCTGGGGCTGTTTTTAATATCTCCCTGTATCTTTTAGCTCAGTCCGTGGAGTTCTGTTCCTCTCATCAAAACCTAGTGCTCCAAATACAATCAACATAAACTGCTGATCAGACACAGTTGAGTTTACTGCTTACTGGGTGAAAGGGGAATTTGACAAAGTTTTGGCAGTGTCTCAGAGAAAATAGTAATTGGAACTTTGGTTTAAGGTAGGACTTTTAGTTCTGAATACTGATTATGATTAAGAACTACTATCCAAGCCCGACGCTGGTGGCCCACTCCTGTAATCCTAGCTACTCAGGAGGCTGAGATCTGAGGATTGAGGTTCAAAGCCAGCTCAGGCGGGAAAGGCCTTGAGACTACCTTCAATGAACCACCAGAAAATCAGAAGTGGCGCTGTGGTTCACAGTGGTAGAGCGCTAGCCTTGAGCTGAAGAGTTTAAGGACAGTGTCTAGGCCCAGAGTTCAAGCTCCAAGACAGACAAAAAAAAACAAAAAAACAAACTACTATCCAAAACTGTTCGAACTGCCAGGGACCTCGGAGATTCTCAGTGAGCAAACTGGCGGTTGATATTCAAGGTGTTGCCTGGATGGAGAATCATGGGGTGTTGCTAAGATGGAGGATGGAGGCTTCTAGGCTTATCATTGTGGGGTTATAATGTCTTTTCAAACATTTTCTACAGGTCATGATGTATCTAACCATCAAATGTAGATTGATTTGTGTGTGTGTGTGTCAATACTAGGGCTTGAACTCAGGGCTTGGGTGCTGTCTTTTAGTTTTTTTTGCTCAAGGCTGGCTCTGTACCACTTAAGCCAAAGCTCCAACTTTTGGGTGTTTTTTGTTTTTGTTTTTTGGTCGGTCGTGGGGTTTGAACTCTGGGCCTGGGCGCTGTCTGTGAGCTCTTCAGCTCAAGGCCAGCTCTCTACCACTTGAGCCACAGTACCACTTTCGGTTTTCTGGTGGTTTATTGGAGATAAGAGTTTCAAGGAGGGCTGGGAAGGTGGCTCAGTGGTAGAGCGCTTGCCTTGCATGCATGAGGCCCTGGGTTCGATTCCTCAGCACCATATAAGCAAAAAGAAAAAAGCCGGAAGTGGCGCTGTGGCTCAATTGGTAGAGCGCTAGCCTTGAGCTGAAGAGCTGAGGGACAGCCCCCAGGCCCAGGGGTCAAGCCCCATGACCGGACCAAAAAAAAAAAAAGAGTTTCAAGGACTTTCCTGCCCAGGCTGGCTTTGAACCTCAATCCTCAGATCTCAGCCTCCTGAGTAGGTAGGATTACAGGCTTGATCCACCATTGCCTGACCAACTTTTGGCTTGGAACCTTGGTCCTCAGATGTCAGCCTTCTGAATAGCTAGGATTACAAGTTTGAACCACCAAAGTCTGGTTCACTTCTTTTTTGTTCTGTGCTTTTTAGTCATTCTTTGTCTAAAATAAAAAAACAAAAAAACACCTTTTCTACCCATCAGAACACTTAAACTCCATTATGGAATGAAATGTTGCCTGATGCTACAATTTAAAATGAAGTCTTTGAACTGAACCTTTGTCACTTGTGCTTGGCCATTCAGGCTGTAATAATGACAGTGAGTGTACTTGGTGTTAAGCTTTTAGATAGACTTGGTGAAATATTTGCAAACTTACAGGATAATTGCAAGAGTTAAACACAGAAGCAATCTACCTTTCACCTAGATTCACTAGTTAACATTTGGCATGGCTGTCTCCTGCAGGTCAACTCTGTTTACTTGTTTCCTGTTTTCCAACTATTTGAGAAAATACTGCAGAAGTTCTCCTTTGCTTGTAAATACTGCAGGCTATAGTCCCTAAAAATTAAGGGCATCTACAGGACAATTACCAGGTAAGATAACTTAGCATCGATGCAACATGGTTATCAAATCTTCATGGTTTTGCACATTGTCCAGTGGTCTCCTTTAGCACAATTTTTTTCTAGTTTAAAACAGAACCACTCACACCTATGCTCCTAGCTACTCAGAAGGCTGAGATCTGAGGATTGAGGTTTTGAAATCAGCTCAGGGATGGGCACCGGTGGCTCACGCCTGTAATCCTAGCTACTTAGGAGGCTGAGGTGAGGATTGCTGTTCAAAGCCGGCCCAGGCAGGAAAGTCCATGAGGCTCTTATCTCCAATGAACCACCAGAAAATCAGAAGTGGCTCAAGGGGTAGAGCACTCGCCTTGAGCTGAAGAGCTAAGGGACAGCATCTGGGCCCAGAGTTCAAGACTCACGACCGACCAAAAAAAGAGAAAAAAAGAAAAAGAAATCAGCCCAGGGCAGGAAAGTCTAGTGAGACTTATCTCCCATTTAACCAGCGAAAAGTGAGTAGAGAGCTGGCTATGAGCAGAAAACCCAAGTGAGAGTTCAGGACCCTGAGTTCAAGCCCCATTACTGGAACATTATAGATAGCACCCAACTGCGTTACTTTCTTAGATTTGTTGTGACAGCATGCACGTATGCATGCACCAGTTCTGGGGCTTGAACTCAGGGCCTGGGTGCTGTCTGTGAGCTTTTTCCCTCAAGGCTGGTCCTCTATCACTTGGACCACAGCTCCATTTCTATATTTTTTACTGGTTAATTGGAGATTAGTGTCTCACAGACACTCAGCAGGAAACTGCTCAGACTAGGTTTTGAATCACAGTCCTTAAGCCTCCTGAGTAGCTTGGATTACAGGCATGAGCCATCAGCACCCAGCTGCAAAATTAATTTTAAGAAGATTCTGGGGCTGGGCACATGGCTCAAGTGATAGAGCATGCCTAAGGCTCTGAGCATAAATCTCAATACCACAAAAGGAAAATGATTTTCTTTTCTTGGTGCAGATCCTTGGGCTTGAACTCAGGCCTAGGCACTGTCCTGAGCTTTTGTGTTTGAGTCACACAGCTCCACTTTTAGCTCTTTGGCAATTAATTGGAGACAGAGTCTTAAGGACTTCCCTGCTTTGAACTGTGATCCTCAGATTGAGTAGGTAAGGTTGCTTCTTTTCTTATTTTTTAATTCCCCCCCAGTACAGGTGTTTGAACTCAAGTCCTCATGCTCATTTGACTTGCTTGCTCCACCACTTGAGCCATGTCTCTACCTTTTTTTTTGGTTGGTCGTGGGGCTTGAACTCTGGGCCTGGGTGCTGTCCCTCAACTCTTCAGCTTAAGGCTAGCACTCTACCACTTGAGCCACAGCGCCATTTCCAGCTTTTTCTGCTTATGTGGTGCTGAGGAATCGAACCCAGGGCCTCATGCATGCAAGGCAAGCACTCTACCACTGAGCCACCTTCCCAGCCCCATGTCTCCAGCTTTTTGCTTGTTATTTTGGAGATGGAATCTTCTGGATTTTACTGCTCAGACTGATGGACTTTACTGCTCAGACTGAATTTGAACCATGAGCTAGGGTTATAGGCACTCATCTTGGTTTGTGTTTTCTTTTACCTTTTGTTTTTTTGTTTTGTTTTGTTTTTTTGGGTGCGGTCATGGGGCCTGAACTCTGGGCCTGGGCGCTGTCCCTCAGCTCTTCAGCTCAAGGCTACCGCTCTAACACTTGAGCCACAGTGCCACTTCTGGTTTTTTCCTTTTTGCTTAAGTGTTGCTGAGGAATCGAACCCAGGGCCTCATGCATGCAAGGCAAGTGGTCTAACAGTGAGCCCCCTTCCCAGCCCTTTTTTTTTTTTTTTACCTTTTTGCTTGTCTATCATGCCTTATGACTCAAAACATTCTCCTTTCTGGTGACAGGGTCAGCTGTGACACCTGGCTGTGGGGATACAGAATGTCTGCATTTTGGGAAATGGGATCCAATGAGGCCTTGGCCAGTTGCGCCTGAGCTTTAGAGCCAAACCCAATCTTGGCCCACTGTTTATTTATTTATTTATTTGTTTACTTTTGTTTTAGCATGCTGTCTTGTTTGTTTTTGTTTGTTTGTTTTTTGGGGTCTAGTCATGGGGCCTGAACCCTGGGACTGGGCGCTGTCCCTCAGCTCTTCAGCTCAAGGCTAGTGCTCTACCACTTGAGCCACAGTGCCACTTCCAGCTTTTTCTTTTTGCTTATGTGGTGCTGAGGAATCGAACCCAGGGCGTCTGGCATGCAAGGCAAGCGCTCTACCACTCAGCCACCTTCCCAGACCCTTAGCATGCTGTCTTGAACCAGCCATTGCACATTGACCGGCAATACTCCCTGATGACATCTTCATTAGAGGATATTAAAACCAATTGTGCAAGAGTCTAAGGTATATTAAATTGCAGGACTAAAGGTTACAACATCTGTTTTCTACAGGGATCTGAGGATTATTTAATTACTATGTAGCTTTATCCCAACTGCTAATTGCTTGTTTGATCAAGCAATAGTTGAAGAGCTAGGAGTGTTGCCCTTGGGTTCAATTCCCAGAATTGTAATAATAATAATAATAAAAATAATAGAAGTAAATTAATAAAAAGAAGCACTCCATTGTTTAAAATGTCCTTTAGTCCATAACAATGTTATCTTTGAGGGAGGGGGTAGATACAGGGTTTCACTATATAACCCAAGCTAATCTTGAATTCAGGATAATCACTGCATCAGCCTTTGTGTGCTAGGATTCTAGGTATGTGCTTCCATGGCTTGGCTTCTTAGCAGGTGACTATTTAGCAAATGGTTTTCATTAAATCTTATTAAATGAGCATTAATTTGATAAATATATAATACCTTAAGCTGTTAAGAATAGGCTAAAACGTCCAGTAAGCCCATGTCCCTAAGTTCAGACTCCAGTGTTACCAAAAAAAAAAAAAAGTGTGGTTTAAGTGGTAGAGTTCTAGGATTAAGCACAAAAGCTAAGCAAGAGTGTGAGGCCTTGAGTTCAAGCCCTAGAATTAGCATAAAGAGAGAGGGGGGAGAAGGAGAGGGAGAGGGAGAAAGAGAAGGAGGAGGGAGAGGAGGAGGAGGAGGAGGAGGAGGAGGAAAAAGGAAGGAAGGAGAAGATAAGAAAGACGACTGCACCAGTTTCCAGTGGCTCACGCCTGTAATCCTAGCTATTCAGGAGGCTGAGATCTGAGGACTGAGGATGCAAGCCAGACAGACAAAAAAGTCCTGTGAGACTTTTATCTCAGTTAACCACTCAGAAACTAGAAGTGGAGCTATGGCTCAAAGTGGTAGAGCTCTAGCCTTGAGCAAAAGAGCTTAGGGACAACACCCAGGCCCCAAGTTCAAGCCCCAAAACTGACCAAAAAAAGTGTCATGAAATTTTTTAAATTGTATAACTTAGATCATTGGAGCTAGCTTTCCAGATCTTACCTGTCTCATGTTTCTGCTGATGTCTGTCTTGTGGTTTATCAGGAATCTTCAGAACTCCCGTCGGTGAAGGATGCTGCCCAAACCCGGGATCTATTACCTCCCCTGGGAGGTAGGTGCTGGCCATGTTCCTGACGGCGGCACCCTTCGAACGTTCGGCAGGTAAGTGTGGTGGTTTTCTCACATGAGTGGCAGGAATACTGTCCCCCTGAACATGGTTCAAATAGTTTCATTATAATTTTGTCTAATTATTAAAAAGGCCAGGCTGGACACCTCATGCCTGTAATCCCAGCTACTCTAGGAGGTGGAGAGCAGAGGATCACAGTTCAAAGCGAGCCTGGGCAGGAAAGTCCGTGAGACTCTTATCTCTGATTGGCTATGAAAAAGCTGTGGATGGGCTGGGAAGGTGGCTCACTGGCAGAGCGCTTGCCTTGCATGCATGAGGCCCTGGGTTCTATTCCTTAGCACCACATAAGCAAAAAGAAAAAAGCCAGAAGTAGCACTGTGGCTCAAGTGGTAGAGTGCTAGCCTTGAGCTGAAGAGCTGAGGGACAGCGCCCAGGCCCAGAGTTCAGGCCCCACGACCAGACCCCCCCCCAAAAACAAAAGAGAAAGAAAAAGCTGTGGCTCAACTGGCATACACCAAAAACTTAATTTTCATTTATTATAAAAAAAATGTAGGAAAGTTAGGGGCAGGATTGTGTGTGAGGCTCTTATCTCCAATTAACCACCAAAAAGTGGGAAATGGAGATGTGGCTCAAGTAGTAGAACAACAGCCTTGGGCAAAAAAGCTAAAGGACAATGTTCAGGCTCCTGAAGTCCTGGGACTTGAACTCAGAGCCTGGGCACTGTCCCTGAGCTTCTTTTTGCTCAAGGGTAGCATTCTACCACTTGAGCCACAGCACCACTTCTGGCTTTTTCTGTTCATGTGGTGCTGAGGAATCAAATCCAGGGCTTCATGCATGCTAGGCAAGCACTCTACCACTAAGCCACCTTCCCAGCCCACCTGTCATCCTGTTATACTGATGACCACTGCTATCTCTACAACTGTCTTTCTCTGCTCTCTCATCGGTGTGTATCTGGGTTATGTGTCTGGGTGGTGGATGTACTCCTGCCGATAGGTGCATGTCATTATGTGACACATTGCCCCAAGTGACTGACAGCGAAGTGACAGAAGATGTTCTGGCTTGAATGTGAGGACAACTTAGCAGCTTACCTGGGTGGTTCTGGCTCAGGGGTCTACAGGTTCCTCTGGTCATCCAGAGATTCCTCCAGAACCGGTGGATCTACCCTCAGGTGATACCTTCATTTACACAGCTGGAGAGTTAGTGCTGACACTCCCAGACATGTCTTTCTCTGCAGGGCTGTGGGAGGCTCCTTAGAGCACAGCCATGAGATCCCAGAGACTAACTGAGGAGGAAGCCATTCTCAGTCCTTCCTGCAGCAGCTTCCTGGTTATGCAGGTCAGCCCCAGTCAGCTGGGGAGAGCACTGCACAAGGATGCTCAAGGCTGACACTTTACCCCTCGAGCCACACCTCTACTTCTGGGTGTTTGTTGTTGTTGTTTTTTGGTCAGTTGTGGGTCTTGAACTCTGGACATGGGTGCTGTCCCTCAGCTCTTCAGCACTCTACCACTTGAGCCGCAGCACCACTTCTGGTTTTCTGGTGGTTCATTGGAGATAAGTCTCATTGGCTTTCCTGCCTGGGCTGGCTTTGAACCGCGATCCTCAGATCTCAGCCTCCTGAGTAGCTAGGATTACAGGTGTGAACCACCTGTGCCCGGCTTTTGGGTGTTTTTTTGTTTTGTTTTGTTTTTCTGGTTAGTTGGATTTTTTTCCTAGACTAGTTTCAAATTGCAATCCTCAGATCTCAGCCTCCTGGGTAGCTAGAATTATAGACATGAGCCACCATTGCCCGGCTACATAGGCCTATTTTATTTCATTGTGTGTAGATGAACAGTCATGCAGTGTATATTTGAATTAACAACAGACTCCACGTTTGACAGTGGTCCCATGAAATTATACAAATGCTGTACTTTTTTTTCTATCTCTACTTGTATGTAGATAATAAATACTGCTGTGTCTCAGCTGCCCATTCAGTATAGTAACATGTAGCACAGAAGTGTGGCCTAGGAGTGAAAGGCTCCTTCACATAGCCTAATTATGTACCAAGCCATTGTCTAGGTGCACTGATGTTTGAACAATGACAAAATTGCCCAGCAGCTCATTTCTTGAACACATGCCTATTGTTTTTTTTTTTTTTTTGGGGTCCGGTTGTGGGCCTGAACTCTGAGCCTGGGCGCTGTCCCTCAGCTCTTCAGCTCAAGGCTAGCATTCTACCACTTGAGCCACAGCACCACTTCTGGCTTTTTTTTTTGCTTATGTGGTGCTGAGGAATCGAACCCAGGGCCTCTGGCATGCAAGGCAAGTGCTCTACCACTGAGCCACCTTCCCAGCCCCCACATGCCTATTGTTAAATGACACATATAGTCCTGCCATAACTTACTTAACCATTTCTGTACTGATTTTTTTTTTACATTGATACCTTTTTTTTTTTTTTGGCCAGTCCTGAAGCTTGAACTCAAGGCCTGGGCACTGTCCCTGAGCTTTTTTTTGCTCAAGGCTAGCACTCTACCACTTGAGCCACAGCATCACTTCTGGCTTTTTCTGTTTATGGGGTGTTAAGGAATGGAACCCAGGGCTTCATGCATGCTAGGCAAGCACTCTACCACTAAGGCATATTCCCAGCCTCCATTTTTGTTTTTTGACACAAGATCTCCTCAATAGTCCAAGCTGATCTTCCACTCATAATCCTCCTAATTCAGCCTCTCAGGTGCTGTGATTAACAAGTATAATCCCTGGTCAGGATTATAACTGGGAACATTTTTTCATGCTTTTGCAGTTGATAAAAATCTCTTGGGTAAGACACACAAACCAAAAAGTCTAAGAAAAGAAGAAGAGGAGCTGGGAAGGTGGCTCAGTGGTAGAGTGCTTGCCTTGCATGCATGAGGCTCTGGGTTCGATTCCCCAGCACCACATAAGAAGAAAAAGCCAGAAGTGGTGCTGTGACTCAAGTGGTAGAGTGCTAGCTGTGAACTGAAGAGCTCAGGGACAGCACCCAGGCCCATGACCGACAAAAAACAAAACAAGAAGAAGAAGAAAAAGGGAAAAAAAGAATATACTTGGACATTAGTAAAAACACTTCAGCTCATCAAAAAGTACCACTAAGGTGACTCATGCCTGTAATCCTAACTACCTAAAAGACTGAGATCGGAGAATCAAGATTCAAAGCCAGCTGGGGCAGATAAATCTGTGCAGACTCATCTCCAGGGAACCAGCAATAAAAAGCTGGAACTGGCAGCAGATGGTGAATTTCTAGCCTCCCCAAACCTTTGAACCTGGGGGTGGTTCTGTGTGGGGTAGGAGTGACTGTACCCTCTTCACCCTCCAGGTTGTGCCTGTATGACATGACACAGTCACGTGTGACTCTGAGGGCTCAGCACGGGTCCGATCAGCACCAGGTGCTTGTGTGTACCAGGCTGGTAGAGCCATTCCAGGCCCAGGTGGGCTCCCTGTACATGGTCCTTGGGGAGCTGGAGCACCAGAAGGGTAAGTAAGCCACACCTCCAAAACTGCTTCCCTTTGAGTCCTGTGCTGGCCCAGCCTCCTTTGGGTGACTTAGCAATTGATTTTCTGGAATGTGTCAGCTACCATCTGGTCAAGTGCTTTTCAGGACTCTTGGGAAACAAGTATTACTGGATTCAGAGCACCCTAGCCTTGTGATACCAAGATCAGGAAAGAAGGTGAGAGTGAAGAGAGGCACCATGGGAAAGTGGGCACAGGGAGAAAAGGCATGCATTTCTTTTTCTTTTTTTTTTTTGGTCCTGGGGCTTGAACTCTGGGCCTGGGTGCTGTCCCTCAGCTCTTCAGCTCAAGGCGAGCGCTCTACCACTTGAGCCACAGTGCCATTTCTGGTTCTCTGGTGGTTTATTGGAGATAAGAGTTTAACAGACTTTCCTGCCGGGCTGGCTTTGAATCTCAACTCTCAGATCTCAGCCTCCTGAGTAGCTAGGATTACAGGCCTGAGCCACCAGCACCCATTTTCTTTTTTTTTTTTTTTTT